CCTCGCTCTCTCTCTCTCTCTCTCCCTCTCTCTCCCTCTCTCTCCCTCTCTCTTTCTCTCTCTCTTTCTCTCTCCCACTCTATCACTCTTTCTCTGTCTCTCTCTGTCCCTGTCTCCTTCTCTCTCTCTCTCTGTTTCGTTCTCTCTCGCTCTCTCTCCTACTCTCTCTCCGTCTCTCTTTTTCTCTCTCTCCCTCATTTTCAATCCCCCCCCCTCTCTCTCTCTCCCTCTCTGTCTCAGTCTCTTTCTCCCTCTCTCTCTATTTCTCACCCTTCTCCCCTCTCTCTCTACCTCTCTGTCTCACAAAAAACCCACAAAGGCAGAGATAGCTGATCAATTCTGCCGGGCTTCCCCCCGTGATCACAAAGCACTATCAGTCTAATGGGCGCTAAGAAATTCAAGTTGGGCATTGATCAAAGAGAACGCAAAACCTCTGTGATTACATCCTCAAACGTGATTACGCTGCTTAATGCAACCAAAACAAACCAAACCAAACACAAACCCTCCATCATTGTGTTTCGTAAGATTCAACCAAACCCGGCCCAGTAACATTCACAAAGGCTCTCTTTGATATTCAGGCAATGCAAACTAGGGTGCAATTCATCCGAAAATTGCTATAATTGTAAAAATAGGACAATCTGAGCTTTATGGTGCACTGTCCCAGGAAAAAAACCGATGATATTATGACAAGCGGTGATTTTCAAAACAGCAAATTATGCGTTTACGGGTGAGGCAGTAAGAGGCAGTAAGAGGCAGTAAGAGGCAATAAGAGGCAGTAAGAGGCAGTAAGAGGTATGTTTGAGTTATTCGTGTAGTTGTTTATTTTTCTTTTCACCTTTGACGTGACAAGGGAATCTACTGTTTTCTTCTACTACTTTCAGGGCAACCCCACCCCTGCCTTGATACATCAGTCCATAGATGACACGTAGTGAACTGGCAGGTCATTCCTGACACTTTCATTTGTGTCCTGTTAGGTGACATAGTTCTCTACTACTGTAGTTTAGTTTCTGCAAGAGTTCTGGTGCCGACGATTAGCTGTGTAGCAAGGGAGTAATACACAAAGAAAAGACGGAGGAGAGATAGGGCAGAAGATGTTTGGAAGGAAAGAAGGAGGAGAGATAGGGCAGAAGATGTTTGGAAGGAAAGAAGGAGGAGAGATAGGGCAGAAGATGTTTGGAAGGAAAGAAAGAGGAGAGCTAGGGCAGAAGATGTTTGGAAGGAAAGAAGGAGGAGAGATAGGACGGAAGATGTTTGGAAGGAAAGAAGGAGGAGAGATAGGGCAGAAGATGTTTGGAAGGAAAGAAAGAGGAGAGCTAGGGCAGAAGATGTTTGGAAGGAAAGAAGGAGGAGAGATAGGGCAGAAGATGTTTGGAAGGAAAGAAGGAGGAGAGATAGGGCAGAAGATGT